AATGGTAAGAGAATATCTATCTGGCCGTGATGAATATAAATCACTGGGACCTGATGGATTACATCCCAGAGTTCCGAAGGAACTGGCAGATGTTATCTCAGAACCATTGTATCACATCTTTAAAAACTCTTGGAGCATCGGGGAATTATCAGAGACTTGGAAAAGAGCTGATGTGGCTCCCATCTGCAAAAAAGGAAAAAAGAAAAACGAAAAAAGAGACCCAGGGCACCATAGACCAATCAGTCTAACATACCTGGGAAGATACTGGAAAAAATAATTAAAAAAAACAGATCTGTGAACATGTAAAAACAAATGAAGTTATAACTAGTAGCCAACACAGGTTTGTTAAAAATAAATTATGCCAAACCTATCTTATTTCATTCTTTGACAAAGTGACTAAGTAGATCAGGAAAATGCTGTGGACGTAGTATATTTAAATGCAAGGCATTTGATAAAGTGGACCACAACCTACTTCTTGGGAAGCTAGGAAAATGTGGGATAGACAGCTTCACCACCAGATGGATTTGCAACTGACTGACAAACCATACTCAACGAGTAGTCCTTAATGGTAATGAGTCTACATGTTGGGAAGTAAGCAGTGGGGTACCACAAGGTTCCGTCTTGGGCTCAGTACTCTTCATACATGACTTAGATGAGGGAATAGAAGGGGAACTCATCAAATTTGCAGATGACACTAAGGTGACAGAAATAGCCAACACCCCAGAAGAGAAGCTCAGGATCCAAAAGGATCTTGACAGACTTGAACAATGGGCTCTATCCAATGCAATTGAATGCAATTGAATGTGGAGAAAAGCAAGGCTCTACACTTGGGAAGAAGAAGAAGAAGAAGAAGAAGAAAAACCTGGCTCAAAAGCAATCTGTGAGAGAGACCTCGGGTGCTAGTGGACGATCACTTAAATATGAGCCAGGAGTGTCTGGCGGCAGCCAAAAAAGCTAATACAATCCTTGGTTGCATAAACAGAATCAAAACCACTTTATAAAGCCTTAGTAAGACCACACCTGGAATACACCTGCATCCAGTTTTGGTCACCACGTTACAAAAGAAGATGTTGAGACTCTGGAAAAAGGGCAGAGAAGAGCAACTGAGATGATTAAGGAGACTAAAACATAGGAAGAACAGTTGCAGGATTTGTGTTTGGCTACTCTGGAGAAAAGAAGGACCAGGGGAGAAATGATAGCAGTATTCCAGTACTTGAGAGGTTGCCACAAAGGTGTGTGTGTGTGTGTGTGTGTGTGTGTGTGTGTGTGTGTCATTATTTTCCAAAGCATCAGAAGGCGGGACAAGAAACAATGAAGTGACTCAAGGAGAGGAGCTGTTGAGAGAAACTTCCCAACAGTGAGGGTAACTAACAGCCTTCAAAGGTTGTGCTTCATCCCTGGGGTTTTTTAAGAAGACATTGGAAATGGCATAGGGTCTCCTGCTTGATCAGGAGGCTGGACTAGAAGACCTCTAACGTCCCTTCCAGCTCTATTCTGATTGACTTTCCAGATAGATGCGTCTCTGAATACCTCCCTGGATTTTTAAGAGCTTTAAGAGCCGTACATTAGAAGCTCTATCGTTAGTGAAAGCATTGAGAATTTGGTACAGAAACAGCTGTGAAACGATGACCCAGCAGGCAGGCCATGGGTTGCCTAGTCTCTGCTGTGTGCCTCCAGAAGCGTCACCAACCATTCCAAACTGAGTCAACCTTAAGTCCCATCGGGATCAAACTCCAGGCTGTGGGCAGAGTCAGCCTGCAATACTGCATCCTAACCACTGCGCCACCATAAGGCTGGCCAGGGCAAGTCCTGGGATTTTTTGGCAGGAAGTCAAGGCAGCCTACTTACTATTAGGCACTCCACTAGGCGTGCTTTCGGGTGCAGCCTTATTGCCCCGGCTTTGCCCGTGGCTGTGATGGCTTCAAGGAGCATGAGCACAGCAATCAGAAAGCTCTTCTTCAGATTCAGGTCCTACAGCAGAGAGCGGGAAATGGCTCAGCAGATGCAAACAGAAACTCAGCCAGGCTCAGGGTCTTCCAACTTGGCACCCTTCAACAATGCAAGTGACTTCCCAGAAAGGGTCCTGCTGGCTGGGGAACCCTGGAAGGCTAAAGGCCCACGTTGCACGAAAAGTCTTGGTCTTTTCCTCTTACTGCACGGGAGCCTTGTGGGTCTGAGGAGGAGACTGTGTTGGGGGAGCCACCCACCCCCGCCCCCAGCTATGCATGGCTGTTTCATCAGGCCGACAAGAGGAAGGATTAATATTAGGAGGTGGTGCTAGGTGTTTCCCTCCTTTCATTTTACTCTTCCGGCCCCCAGGAAATGGGGATACCAAGTGGATTTTTCCTCCCACGGGGATGCCAGAACTGGAGGCTTCTGATGAGGCAGATTGAAATGCCAGACATTATAAACAGGAAACGTTTCCCAGAACAAGAAAACAGACCAAAGCCCAGAAACCACTGTCCCACCCGCCCAATGGCTGTAAGGGGCACCATCACAGCCCCACTCAGCTCCTCCAGAACCTCTGGCTTCCCCCGGCTGAGCTGGGCTGCTTTTCCCCCCGGCCAGCTCCCTCCCCCCACTGCCTTTCGGCCAAGGAGAAAGGTTGGGTGACCAGGGCAGTTCCCTGGTTCAAAGCCTGAAAATGTACCGAGGGGTCGATAAGGAAGTACTCGATCAGCCTGGTGATGATGAGCTCCACTCGTGGCAGGACTTCCTCCTTGATCCCCAGAGCCACCCGGCCGTAGCAGAGCAGAAGTGTGTTCCGTTGGCAGAGCTGTAGGGAAGAAGGCCCAGCTCTCCATCAGCTCCCCCAGGCAACGGGCTCCCACTCTTCTTGTCAAGGGCGCCCGCCCGGCAGCTGTGAGGGCACGAGAAGCGGTCCGGCCAAAGGAACCGTGGATGGACCGCAGCAGAAGCGGGGAGGGCAGAAGCCGCAAAGCCCCAGGAAACAAGGCTTCCCTACCCACAATTATATCCCCCAACCAGCGCTGTCAAAACAAGAGGATTAATGATGTTCTGAGCGTTAACTTGATGCTGTCTAACATTACCTGGTTGGTTTTGGACACGGGGATCTCTGCGGTGGAGAGAGTCCTGCCGAAATTGTCCAGCGCCTTAAAAACTTCATCCATGTGGCGAGAAGCAGCCAAGCCACAAGCAGCAGCGATGCCCTACGAAGGGAGAGCAGGGTGAGGGGCGGGGGGGGGGGGGGAGGGGGGAGGCAGCAGTTCTAAACGGCCTAGCAGATGCTCCGCTTTGCTCTCCCAAGCAGGGAAGGCCCGTCTGCTCAGCCGCAGGGCCGGCAGGGATGCGCTGCTCTGCTTCTAGTCCATCAACTCCGCTGGAACCCAACAGCAATGCGAGGTGGGACTTGTTCCAACCAGGACAGGGCAACGAACCCGTGAGCCCCTCGCAGTCGTTAGCAGAGGGTGCCACAGTGTCCTGGG